GGATTTTTAATGACCACAGAGAGTCAGGACCTCGGTTTTACGTCTCATCCGAAGGACGGGTGCGAAACCAGGACAAGAGCAACTGATTAAGCGCCCAGAAATTAAAACAAACAAACATGGAGACTGAAAGCATTTAAGACTAATTTATCAATAATGTGATTTCACTCGACTGTAAATAACTTGGCCAACGATGACTGGAATATAATAATTACTCTTTCCATTTAAATACAGCTATCCAGGCTCCTGAAATGCTTGACATGTAGAGAGCGACTCACTGTATCCAGTGCTTTTTTATTTTTATTTTTTAATGCTGCAGCGACGCACAATAGCCATCCACACACACCAGAACCCCGTCGCCATAATCACACCTGAACCTGTCACCGCAAAATAGCATAATAAGACAGGCGTGAGGGACAGGGTTTTTATCCAATCAGCACAAGGGTTTTCAGTATTAAGGATGAGTGATGCACTTTCCGTCCAATGACCGCGGATATCCCGGAACTTGGCGTGAGTGACGCGGCCTCCGTCCAGTGATCGCAGAATTCCGCCTGAGTGACCTGGCTTTTGTCCAATCAGCGTCGGGTTTCTAATACTGTCCAATCAGCGCCGATCCACTGTCCATTTACTAGATCTGTTCATAAAGCGCTGGAATGAGACATGACTGACGCGTCCAGGACTTTAACGAATTGCAGTAGAAGCCGCTTCTGATAAATGTCCACTGTGTGGCAGCAGTTGCACAGCAGTCCAAGCAAGCGAGTTTTAAAGTGCTTCTTAATCCCGAACCTGGTTTACACAAATTTTATGGTGAACAGGTTTATTATTTAATCTGACTCCTAACGTCGTGCGAATCATTTTCTCGCTGTTTTGCTATTTCATTTTATGTTGTTTTTGTATTGTTATATTGCAGCGTCTAATATGTACTTACCTTTAACTGTTGTATTGTCTTCTTGGAGTAAATAACAATAATCAAATACAAAAGCACTCATCTTTCTTGCTCCGTCATACTCCTATCACCCCTACACTTGACAAAGTGTGTTGCAAACTCTCTTTTTCCACTCATGACTACTCCCGCTGTGTAATGATTCATTTGCAATACGTTTTTTTGTCTTCTCCACGTCCACGGTTTCTTTCATGGCTTGCAAATGAC